GGGGGGGGGGGGGGGGGGGGGGGGGGGGGGGGGGGGGGGGGGGGGGGGGGGGTAGCAGCATCACTCGTCGCGACACCCAACTTGCTACACCGCTGCGTGCTTTCTTGTCAACGGAATGGCAGGAGGGGGTTCTACTTTCATCTCCTGGTGACCCCAAAGTTCCGAACAACTGATGAAACTACAATCCGAAACTGTCACCTCAATAAACCGCAGTTAATGTCTGTTCGACGAATAAACGTTTCTATTACACAAATCACGACACCGCCGAAGAGCACGACAGCGACTCGCCTCGCGCCCTCAATGTTTTCACATTTTGGGTCAGCCTAGCTTCAAACCCACCCGTCACAGCTAGGCCCCACGAGGTAACGTACAATGAATTGACGAAGTACAATTTAATGGCTTGTCGAGCATCACGTTGCGGTCGTTACTGACACAATCAGCAACATGACACATGCCCAGTGACATGCTTGAAAACAAAAACGCGACTTCAACCCAGCCGTGTTTTGTCCCACAGAGAAACAAACGCAAGAAAGAACACCAGTTCATCTAACGAACGTAGGGCAACACGGTCTGTATCTCGCGCAAAAAACGCACAGCTTTCCTGTGATCACTTCCTCTCCTTCCTCTGTGGTCTCCGAGCAAGGAAAGCCCGCCGCTGTCAGCGAGGGACCCGATGATGCCCAATCATTTCGAGTTGGCGATATCCTCCACTGCACGACTTCCTCTCTTTGTGCGACGACGCTCGAAAGCGGTAACTTCTGCGTTGGAGGCAGCGGTGCAAACATCGCGGAAAGCTTCGTCTGGTAGATATCGTGCTTGATCGACCTGTTTCCTGGCACCGACGGTGTGAATTGCTACACAACGATGGAGAACAACTGTGTGGTGGGCAGAGAAAGGGTTTGCTCAGGGTAGACGTGCCACCAAGGCAAGCAAACACAGCTTCTACATTTATACCTCATCGTTCAACATTCAGACTGTACCAAATCACGTACCCGCCTTCCCATCCATGCCTTCCCTGTTCTACATACATGGCCGGGCCCGCACAACCTGGTACATGCGGCGACAGATGTCACAACAGACTAAATCCTTTACGAGTCACACTTCGTAAGGAGGCCGGCCACGCAACACCCGTGATCGGCTGGTTGAATTCGTAACCAGACGATAACTGCTGCAGGGAGGTCGACCACACGACGCCGTCGATGGGCTGGTAAAATTCGTAACCAAACCGTAGCTGCTGCAGGGAGGCCGGCCACACGACGCCGTGGATGGGCTGGTTAAAGTTGATCCCAAACGATAGCCATTGCAGGGAGGCCGGCCACACAACGCCGACGATGGGCTGGTTGACTTCCCAGCCAAACGATAGCTGCTGCAGGAGGGCCGGCCACACGGCTTCGACGATGGGCTGGTTGAAATTCCAACCAATTGATTGCTGCTGCAGGGAGGCCGGCCACACGGCTTCGACGATGGGCTGGTTGAATTTGTGACCAAACGATAGCCATTGCAGGGAGGCCGGCCACACCACTCCGACAATGGGCTGGTCGAATCTATGCCCAAACGATAGCTGCTGCAGGACGGCCGGCCACACGACCTCGGCGATGGGCTGGGTAAATGATCCCCCGAACGATAGCTGCCGCAGGGAGGCCGGCCACACGACCCCAGTGATGGGTTGATTGAATTCACAACCAAAAGTTGGTTGTTGCAGGGAGGCCGGCCACACGACTTGGGCGATCGGCTGGTTGAAGTCATCCGCAAACGAGACCTGCTTCACGGAGGCTGACCACACCACTCCGACAATTGGCTGGTTGAAGGATCCCCTAAACGAAAGCTGCTGCAGGGAGGCCGGCCACACGGCATAAGCAATGGACTGGTCGAATTTATGCCCAAACGATAGTTGCTGCAGGGAGGCCGGCCACACGGCATAAGCAATGGGCTGGTTGAATTTATGCCCAACGATAGTTGCTGCAGGGAGGCCGACCACACGGTATTAGTAATGGACTGGTTGAATTCGATCCCAAACAGTAGCTGTTGCAGGGAGGCCGACCACACGACTCCGACGATGGGCTGGTCGAATCCATCCCCAAGCCATCGCTGCTGCAAGGAAGATGGCCACACGACTCCGACAATGGGCTGATTAAACAGTTCCCCAAATGAAAGCTGCCGCAAGAAGGCCGGCCACACGACGCCGCCGATGGGCTGGTCGAACCAATCTCCAAACGAAAGTTGCCGCAAGGAGGCAGGCCACGACGCTGTGTACACGGGCATATTCACATTAAATACCAGCCGTTGAAGCCTTTGAGGCCATACCACCGATCCCAGGCTTGCTGCTTGTCGCCGCCGATATTTTGTTTCGGACCACAGCCCAATGGCAGAACTCTGCAGCAGATCCTCCATCAGAAGTGCCCACGTCATAACGAGCGCCTGTACAGCAGGCACGCGACTCGAGATGCAAACCTCTCGACTGTGCTTGTTGGGTGTGGTGTGTGATTCGTGAGGAGACCGCAAGCTAGGAGGCGTTCGTTGATGAACACGCACGTGTAAAGTTTGAACACTTTTGTACACCCTATAAAATCCCAGCGACACAAGCTGTAGCTCCTACGTAGACGCATACCAACGCTGTCCTTGTTCATCGCAAGCCTGATCCAAAGCGACGCTGAAGGCGTCTAGGCACTCGCTATTTCCTGAGGTATTGAATGAACGATGCACACGTAGGAATGTATATAAGATGTGGTGGGCCTTGTGACAGTTTCTTACTGCGCGACTGGGTGGGTGAAGTCGGAGACAGGAAAAAAGGGATAAGGGCAGGGAGGTTCCCCGAGCCACTACTCACAAGACCACGGCTTCCAGAAACTGCCAACCGCTAGCCTTGATCATGGACACAGCGGTGCCCTATGATTGATCACCTGTTGTTGGTTAATCGCGTTATACATCCTTCCATCGACTGCTAGTTGGGGCGGGCAAGATGCCGTTCGGTAGGCCACTGCAAGACACTTGGAAATCAGTCAACTTGGTTCTTCGGGTGCATAAAACCGCCGTTCCCCTGATTCAAATCGAAACGGAAACGACACAGCCAATCATGTTCCTCGCCACCATTCCCGGCGACGCTGGGTACAAGGTCCACCCCAGAAACTTGCCAATCAGCCATATCACTCTCCATTCGGGTGCCTGTGTCGTCAAGGATGACCCATGTCTTAAATGTCGAAGAAATGTGTTATCCTGACTGGTGTGTGAGAATCTTCCTGCAGGCAAAACGAGGACAAAAGTGCTCTGTGTTGTTGTCTCCGTGGGATAAGCGTTTATTTCTCGGGCTAGAGTCTGGGTTCCAAAGCATCAACTCTGCCGATAGTGGGTTGGGCATGTGACTCGCCTTGCTTCCAATACCGGCCATAACAACGCGTCATTTTTCACGCCATCGAGCGTTTCACGAATGTACCTCATTCTCCCTGCGGAACCCCTTGATGTTTTCCTGCCCGTGGTTGCTTGCCCCCGCCACATTTCGTCGCAGACTCCGGTCGACAACAGTGTTAGAGCGCCGCTGAAGCGCATGGCAGCTCGTATGGGCTTGTACTTGTGATTCGACACATCAAACCGCCCGCGCCTTGCCGCCTGACCACTGCTAGTCTCAGCGGAAAAAAATGGAAAGACGTATTGAACTATGATGTATCACAGGTTTCGTCCCAACTGGACCGGGGAAGTGTTGTCCTTTCGGCCTAGACTAAAAAAACAAAACATTTTGTAAAATGTGAGGGGTCCCCGCACAAACACGGAGGAGCCCCCAAAAGCGAGCGTTGGTCGAAACGGGAGACGCCCGAACGCCATTATCAGGCAATCTCGTGCGTGTAGGGTAGTGGCCACCCTACCATGAAATACCGTGGGAAACGCTTAAATTCAAATATCAAAGACGCAGCCTACGGGATCGAGTTGCCAAAAAGAGCAGAAACAGCACCAGAATGAACGGAAAAGAAGATTTACCGGTACATTTTGTTCACACCTCGAATACAGGTATCTACTCTGCGGACAGTCGGTGGAATGAGGAGAATTTTTATATTTCGGGGGTCCACGCAATCGACTCATCATGCCGCGGGCCGTTGCCGTGACTATTCGGACACTGGAGGACGGGGTTACGTCTTCGTTTTGTTGTCTCTTTACCTACAGAGAGCAGACCTCTCTCCCGTAGCGGGTCCAGCAGGGCAGCGCCGCGCAATGTAGGCACAGTGCCTCTCTATTCATGCGTGTTCCGGATACCGCAGAGGTGTGGGCAGTGGAGCCTTGCGATTGGCAAACTGTCTCCCCTCTTCCCACAAAACACACATCCTAGAAGGGGACTGCTGTACATCGCAACACACCCACACCTTCCCCTCTCTAGGGCGAAAATAACCAGCGTGCACGTTTCTGTACATTGTAAGGCGGCCCCTGTTGGCTTGCGGCGGTGTGATACTCTGGCAGTACACCATTTTGGTTGGCCACCTGCTTCGCTTTCGGGTAGTCGAAGGACGATCACCAACAGACACACAATGAAAACACTTCCGCGTCTCAAGGTGATGCGACGCGCATTGCAACCTCTACGAGCCACCGGCCTACCCCTCGCTGTCATTTCAGGCTCTAGGGTGCCGTTGTCCGTGATGGCGTCGTTGATCACAGCACCCCAACATAGACACTCACAACGCGACCATCGAAACGGCAGCACAGAATGGACAAACGACAGAAAACCGCAGGTAGTATGTAGGTTCACGCGACATTTGAACAGTCCATAGTTTTTCGATGCAGTAAAAGAACCCCGGAGCTTAACACCGATAGACCAAACTCACTATGCGCCCCTTTCTGTCGCGCCCTTCACGTTTTCGTATCGAGCCAGAATTACCACACAAGGTACTTCAGTTTTTGATGCAACCATCTTACATACGTCATTCACCTCCACGAATACTTGTCCTCCTGCGAGCACAATTTAGAAGACGGTTGTCCACTACGCGCCACTAATGGGTACATGTAATAAATTCAACAAGACAGGGACGATAAACGCATGCCGTAGTGATTAGACTATAGACTTTGCATCCGTACAAGGTGGCATGGCGCCATATGCAGGGTTTCACCTGCTGTACCAAACCAGAAGCTGTTGGTCATCCTTGCGTTTGCTGTACCAAACCAGACATGCCATAGGTAGATTGAGCATCCCGGCAAACCACATGTTTTACATTCGGCAGTACGACTATAGTTATAAAAGTACCGCAAGGGATTTCGATCTTTGCACGCTTGTACAAAATACATAGGCGTGACACACAGAGCGAACACATCCCTTCGTGTGTGAAATACTTGGAGGGTCATCTGCAAACACTTTGAAGTAGAACAAACTTGAGGTAGAAACGTTCCAGATGGAAGTAGTTCAAAGTAAGCGCTCCAGCTATCCAGTGTTCAGCGGGCAGCTCACATAGGATGTGAACCCTTGGACCGATTCCCACGACCTCACCGGATACATTGCGTCAACAACCCCAAGTCCCTATACAGCAGTTGTACAGCTCCATGCCACGAGAGACAACCCTTCCTCGACCGATCCACCCTCGAACCTCACAGGCGGGGGGATTGTTGGTCTCAGTTTCACCGGGGGGGGGGTATCTATGCATCGGGTCCCGTAATTGTGCGCTAGTTTTTCAATCCTGTCTGTCCTGTTTTTTTCGCACCCCGGTGCCATAAATCTGAGGAGTGCACAACCACGGTACCCGGTGCGGAAACACAACTCTTCATCATTTCGCCGACGGGTATGATCTCGAACAAGACAAAGCGGCCTACCCACAGTGCTGTCTGTACATAGGCCTCGATGAGATGACCGCGATAGGTGCGATACTGAAAAACGGCACAGCGGCTTGCAGGTACCAGCAGATCTGCGGTACAGCACCTTAGCAAAGCACACATATCGTAGCAGTTACAGGAACGTGTGGCGAATGGTGACCAGCGATGGGGTCGAGGGCGAGCTTGGGATGGCGTACAGTATTGTATACGAAGGAACGTCGCTGGATATCTTGCATGCTTGGTTGAGTGCATACAATGCGCCGACCACGGTAAAGCACCGCAAATGATAAAGCTTGACTCGTTCCTCCGCGTACACCGCGACGGTGCAATGCAATAAAGAAGTGGCGACCCGATCAACCTTCTTCGGATTGACAGTTAGAGGTGTCAATGGCCCAGCAAACATAACGGAATCTTTTCACAAATGTGTCCCGGGTCTTCCAGATGGAAAAACGATCGAGCCACCCAAATCTCGAGAACCGGTCCCTGGGCACCGCGAGAATGACATAATCAGCGAGAGAGAGGAGCACACACCACAAACATATGCCCAAGTGATAGATACAAAGGGTGGCGAACGTATACCACAGACACACGTGACGAGCGCGACGCCTGGAAAGCAGTCCGTTTGCTCGGCCCCTGGAGGTTGAGATTTGTGTTGTTGTTGCTGCTGCTGCTGTGCTGCTGCTGCGATCGGTGTCTGATGTGGCAAAAAAAATCCGTTGCATCCCGACAGAAAACGTTGTCTGTCATCACAAATGCTGCTACTGGGAAATAGATGAGACATTGCTTGACATTGCTTGCCGCCACCGTGCCCCTATAAAGGAGGTCAGGATCTACTGGTCCCTGACCCTGTGGTTGGATGCCTGGCCTCGTAGGTTAAGCAAGCGAGATGGACACAAACAGCGATGGTGCCGTGAGCCTCTCTCTTTTTTTTTTGCCCTTTCGACACACCATCTTTGTTCCACCACCGGCTGGTATACTGACCACACTAGACAATGAAAAAGACCACGAGCTCCAACGGAATTTTTCTTCGTACCTGCGCGGGAGTGCTACCTATCTATGTCTTTCTTCGCTGTATCCCCGTAGCAGACCTGTGATGATGTGGCTGAAAAGATGCAACAGCCAGCAGTTGAAAGAAAACCGGACTTTCAGCAACCTGGCGCTCGCTTTCGTTTTTTGGGACACTCCACATGTGCCCATCTCCCGTTCAGCAGTCGCACGAATCGTTGGTAATCAGCAAACGTACACTCAGCTGCCATCGCGTGGGGTAGCCGTGGCAAGAGAACATCTAACGCCCGCATGCCGAATGTTGTTGTGTCGCCCTTCTCAACGAGAAAAAACTTGTTTTCTTTTCCGCTCGCTCTTGCCTATCTGGAGGAACTTCAGCCAGAGTTCGGGCAAAAGTGACCATTTTTACGCACGAGTGCTCCAGAACGGCGTGCGCAATTGACCTATTCCTTTCGGTGCTGCCTGCTCTGACTCGCAAGGCAGTAGATGGTAAGCTCGGTTTCTCATGATTCGACGTCGCTCCACCGTCAGCAGAAAGAAAGCAAGAAAAAGCGTGAAAATCATAGTTTTTTTGCTCTTTGGCGGCTCTCCCTTTGTCCAGATGAAAAACGGAGGTTACTACTTGCATACATATGAATGCAGTGGGAGGACCTGTTTAGTGCCGGTATGTGCGCAGAGCGTTCACCGGCACTAAACCAGGCACCCGGCACGAATGCGATTAGTGCCAAAACGGCACTATTGAGGGCTGGCCAATCCCTCATTAGTGCCGTGTGGCACTTCTGATGCCGTGTTTGATTTTATGATGTGGCGCTCAGGCTTGCGGGGCCAACAGAGTATGAAATGGATCGAACCAGTGAAGTACTAGCGTGGGTGTGGGCAGACTTTCTCGCGACACGTGGCGGTCCACCCTGCCTGTTGAACCCGCAACAGTGTGCTGTAAGATACAATTGTTGCATCTCCGGCTACAGTAGTACCTGACCAGCACTTTTATCGTTTTTTCGACGGCGAAAGGATAACACACATCATGCACCCGATTGTGTGACGGCCAAACCTGCTTGTAAAGCTCTCATTCGTACAAAACAAAATCTCATTCCCCGTTGCCCTCCTTCGATGTTGCAAAATGAAAAAAAGTAGCAACACGACAAAGAGCGCGCACAAGAAAATAAAGAAAACACTACAACCCTACGTCGCGACAACCCTCTCATGTCTACCTGGCCCACCAGCTTCGATGTTGTACGAAAAAAAAAAGAGAAAGACGCACGACAGGAAGCGCACCGCAAGAAAAAAAAAGGGAAAACGACAAAACAGGGTGTACCCTGGTCGAAAAGCGACTCACCTGGGTACAATCATTAACAGCAGAAAATGCACTCATATGATTGGTCAGCGCCCAGTTTCACCCCGCTGCGTCGGAAAAAGCGCAGGGTATACTCTCCCTTCTTCCCCTCGCTCCCCGACAAGCTTTTGCTTAGACATGGGTTGTAGCGAAGGGGGGGGTCTTTCTGGCGAGCAGGGCTAGACTCACCCTCAAGGGATGACCGAAACCTTCTTGCTGCTGCGCATCCGCCGCGAGGCGTGCGTGTGGTGGTGGAGTTGGGTCGGCACTGATGGGGTCAGGCGGGAAAATG